TTGAAATAATAAGTCCCGTTAGCGAATCCGAAGAACGGCACAGTATAAGTCATCATCCAGATATTTCCTCCACCGCAGTCGAAGTAAGGTTTACTCCAGCGGCCGTCGTCATAGGTCACCGACAGGATCTCCTCCTCCTCTCGTTCCGTGTGCGCCGTGTCGTTCCAGGTGTAGGTGTGGTATCCTGCGGGAGGAGAGGACGTGGGTTAGAGCCTGAAGAAGGAAGGAAGGAGGAGAAGGAGTAGTGTGAAGAGAGAGGACGTGGGTTTTTTGGAGCCTGAAGAAGGAAGGAAGGAGGAGGAGGAGTGTGAAGAGAGAGGGTGTGGGTTGGTTGGAGCCTGAAGGAGGAAGGAAGGTGGAGGAGGAGTGTGAAGAGCGAGGACGTGGGTTTTTTGGAGCCTGAAGGAGGAGGAGTGTGAAGAGAGAGAACGTGGGTTGGTTGGAGTCTGAAGGAGGAAGGAGGAAGAGGAGCAGTGTGAAGAGAGAGGGCGTGGGTTGGTTAGAGCCTGAAGGAGGAAGGAAGGAGGAGGAGGAAGAGTGTGAAGAGAGAGGACGTGTTTTTTTTGGAGCCTGAAGGAGGAAGGAAGGAGGAGGTAGAGTGTGAAGAGAGAGGGCGTGGGTTGGTTAGAACCTGAAGGAGGAAGGAAGGAAGAGGAAGAGTGTGGTATTCTGCGGGAAGATAGGACGTGGATTGGATCTGAAGAGGGCGTGGGTTGGTTAGAGCTAGAAGGAGGAAATAAGCGAGAAGGAAGGAGGATGGGAGAAGGGAAAAGGTGGGATATAGTTCTTTGTGTGTAGGCATATAGGTATGTCTATCTGCCTGATCATAAACACACACACACACACATAAGCACACAAATACAGGCACACATTCACACACACAAAACATTGCTTTCCAAAACGACATATAATATACCTATAATAATCATAACACTCTTTAGAATAATATATATATATATATATATATATATATATATATATATATATATATATATATATATATATATATATATCCTTCCATCTATCTCTCTATTTATCCATCTATCTATGATATCATTCTGAAAAATGCTATAATTATCATACTTATCATAAGTGTGTCTGTACGCAAAAGGATATCAATTCTAAATTTGATAAAAATGAATAATAATGCTGCTTCTCCCGCCTGCACATTCACTGTACAGTAAATTCCCTTTCATTAGCAGGTTATATAATGGAAAATACAGTCCAGGTTAATACATTAAGAATTCCAGGACGATAGGTCATGGTATTTCATTATAATTGTGAATAGGTGATATCGCCGGGGAAAGTAATTAACTGTGAAACTCGATGACCATGTACTTTCGGCTGTATGTGGCAGGGGGGGCGGGGGGGGAGGCCAAGTTGCAAGTTCAATATTAAACGCTATGAGGTTAAATGGGTGTCTGTGAAGGAAAGCTGAGGTAGATAGGTAGGGAGATAGATAGATAGATAGACAGATAGGTCAAGAGGGAGAGGAAAATTTAGATATTGAGATAAAAAGAGAGAAAGAGATAGATGGATAGATAGAGATGTAGATAGATAGATAGATAGATAGATAGATAGAGAGATAGATAGATAGATAGATAGATAGATAGATAGATAGAGAGAGAGAGAGAGAGAGCGAGAGAGAGAGAGAGGAAGGGAGGGAGAAGGTAAAGGAAAGGGAGAGAGGGAGGAGAAAGAAAAAAAAAGAGAGTGAAAAACAGACACATACGAACACACACATACAGAAACACACAGAGAAACAGAACAAAATAACGTTTCAACTATCAGATCAAACTCCCTCTAATGAAAAGAAGTTACTCGAATATACCTGCAACAAAGTCTGATCCTCCGATAAAATGAAAATTAGAACTTTTGTCTGATTATGCGTGAAATCAGACACCGCATCTGACTGCCAGACACGGAATTAACGATAACAATGCAATAATTGCAAAACTACTTTCTAATTACAGTTGCAGAATAAAGGCCTCAGTCTGTACCTGATATGACTCTGCTGGTGTTACAACTTTTTTTTTAAGTAATAAGAACAACCGCAGCATTAAATAAGATACTTGTAATATTGATATTGATATTAATGATTGTAATTAGAAAGTTAATAACAATATCAGCAATAACAAGGAAATGATGATAATAATATCAGCAATAATAAGGAAATGATGATAATAATATCAGCAATAATTGTTTTGAAATGATAATACCAATATCAGTAATGATTATAATCATAGCACTGATGATAACAATAATAATGATAATGAAGATGATAATAATGATTATAATTATGATAATGATGATTATAATTATGATAATAATGATAGTGATATCGATAGTGATAAAAACAATAATAACCATGAAACAGATGATAATGTTAATTATGATAATGAGAATAATAATACTAATAATGTAGATAATACTGATAGCAATAAATCTATTCAAAGACCAACCTTTACATTAATGCTTTTTCAAATACAACATATACAACAACAACAACAAAAAAAAACGAAAGTGAATATTACTCAAAATCTTCCCTAATTACTGTAACCTTTTGAAATAACGCAAATAGACGGGGGAAAATGTAGCCTATTTCAACCCTCTGTTATCAAGGACGGAGGAGATGATAGCTCTGCGGTGTACATGAATTCATCACTGTTATTACCTTTAAATCGTTTGATTATATGCGGTTGATATTAATTCGTATTCGAATGGAATAGAATATCTCGTTTCATTTCATCGATACAGGAAGTATTAATATATTACTTTAAAAGGTGGGCTGTGCAAATATTGCAAATTAGATAAAAAAGAAAAAAAAAGAAAAAAAGAAGAAAAAGAAGCTAACGAGCAAAATAAATAATGTGTGTTTTGAAGCAATTATTGATTTTTTTTTACATACATACATTCATACATGCATAGAGAGACATATACATATATATATATATATATATATATATATATATATATATATATATATATATATATATATATATATACGTATATATATATATATATATATACGTATGTATATATATATATATATATATATATATATATATATATATATATATATACGTATATATATATATATATATATATATATATATATATATATAGAGAGAGAGAGAGAGAGAGAGGGAGAGAGAGAGAGAGAGAGAGAGAGAGAGGACAGAGACAGACACAGAAGTCATCAACTGTAATACGCTGAAAAAAAGACACAAAGCTTCCTTCTCAAAACGTTTCATGGAAAGTCGCCGGTTTGAACTGACCCCCAGACTGTCCGCTAGAGAGTTGTCCAAGATTGTGTGAGAGTCACTTCTGCTCTCCTGGATTAAGCTGATTCAGGTATAAGGCCGCTTCGTGGTTTTTCAACTCTGACCTACATTAATGGGTGGAATGTTCAGCATTTTTGTTGGCTCTTTTTGGAGGGTGAGAAGGGTGGGTGTGGGTGTGTGGGTGTGGGGGGGGGGTCTTGTGTGTGTGTGTGTGTGTATGTGTGTGTGTGAGAGAGAGAGAGAGAGAGAGAGAGAGAGAGAGAGAGAGAGAGAGAGAGAGAGAAAATTTTTATTTTGAAGTTGTACATATCTGAAATGGCATAGGAACTATTTGTTTTATACAGTGGTATCATTTCAAGTACATTATCATATACGTGGGAGTAATTTATATAATATTGATGAAGAAACATAGATGCATTCCTTGGAGTACAGTGAAATGAATATATATAACACATTTTACAACATCTAACATAGAAAATATATATATAGAGAGAGAAAGATAGAGAAAAAAGACGGATGAATATAGAGAAAGGCAAAAGGTATGTAAATTTCAAATACACTCATATTAAGATAAAAGCATAGTTCTTGAAGGTCGTTCCATTATCCCTCCCACGAGCTCTTCACATCATCTCACACATTGTCCTTGTACCGGTAAGACCCCCCCCCCCCCCCACACACACACACTTCTTCCTCCTCTCAGTCCTTCCTTCTTTTTCGCGTCTTTTTACCTCTTTCCTGCTTCTCTCTGTCCACATTTCTCCTTATTTCTCTTCCCTCTCTCTATTTTGCAATTTGTCTCTCCCTCCTTACTTTCTTTTGCCTCCTTTTTTTTCTTCACCTTTTTCTTTCTTCCTTCTCCTACGTCTGATTCATCTTTCCTTCCTTTATTTTCCTCTTCGTTACGATTCATTTTCCTTTTAAGAATATTCGTTCCTGGAAAACAAGTTCGTTTTGCTTTCTTAACATTCCATATTTTCTTTCTCCTCTTCTTTTTGTTTTATTCTCTCTCTCGTTTCTCTTTTTATCGTCTCTGATTTCACCGCCTCCCACATTTAAATTTTCTTACCTTATTCTCTTCTTATCTTCCTTTTACCTCACTTTATTCGTTCTCCCGGCTTCGTACTTGTCTCGTGGGTAAGTCTCGTATTTTAATCACGTAATATTTCAACCTTCCTGTTTACTTGTGTACGTATATTTGCCGTGAGGATAATGGAATATTGGACTTAATGTGTCATGGAAGCTGGACTTTATTCATGAGACGTTGTATTCTATTTTCGCTTTGTTTCTTTATCCTTGTATGCATTCACTTATTCATTTATTTCTTTATCTATTCTTTACGAGAAAAAAAAATGGTTTTATCTTCTGTTTCTGTATTTATATATTTTTTTATTCCATTTTACAGCGCGAAATCGATGCGTGTATATTTGCCTTTTCTTTTTTCATACGCGTTTGTTAAGGTGGCTTTATATTAGAGGTCAGGAAAGCTTGTAATTAGAAAAACCAGTCTTAAATTCGACTTAAAGTATGCCAGAGTGAAACCTGACTGAGGAAAATATGTGGCAGACGTAGCATACCGTTAAGGTAATATTTTCAAGTATTAAATATCTGCACAATATTCTTCTTCTTCGGAAAAAAAATACGGTCTTATCAAAAGCAGTTCACGACAGACTAAGGAATCTCCCAGACGGTCATGCAGGCACTTGAACCTGATATATCTCCGGACAAACGTACTTGGATTACAGTATTTCATCTCGATTTACAGCGCATGATTAGAAGTAAAAGCAGGTTGGCGTGCTCTCCTTAGACGGCTGGATTCGTGCCCGCCGGGTGTTCAGTCGCGTGCATATAATAATCGCGGTTTGCCTTGTCTATATGATTAATTGTGTTTTCTGTATTGATT